GGCTACCCGTCAGCCCGTCACCCTAGCAGGCTAGAGATGGCGGCGCAATTTCGGCGGAATGGATGTTTCGCTCCCTAAAAGTTGGGGTCGGTTGTTGTTGAACAGACGACTAAGTCTGCTGGGGTGCACAGTGCTCAAGGATTATACCTTTTTATTGTACGCCTGAGCCCCCAAGTGATTGTTCTCACTTGGTACTTCGCAAATATAATATTTTATTATCTTCTTCTCGAACATCAGCAAAACACTCAAGTCGTTCTGTGTTCAACACTATGAATGAATTGGAATATCTAGACCAAAATAAAATAATAGACCAAGACCATAGAATACAAAGATGACATATATTATAAATGAGACAAAAAAATAATAATGAAGCTGTGCTCATTTTATCCTCCCAGCTTGCGTAACAAGAAAAAAAGTACCTTTATTTCATTAAATAATATATAAATATTATGCAATCTCTTAATTATGATAAGAAGGAAAAGTAGGTACATATACTTAAATGATTATTGCGATATACCTACCTAATAATGATTTTTTCGATCAAGAATAGATACTACTACTAACAAAACATAACTTACTTATTAATTGTAATTTTCTGATTTAATCAATTGAAATAACAATGAAAACTCTTAGTTTTTGCTTGGTAAATAACAAAATCAATCAATATTTTAATGTCTTATTTTTTCTTTTATTTAGTACGTTCTTTTTGATAATTAAAATTGTGACAGACAACTATAATCGTCACTGTTGAGAAACTCATTAAAAAAACGATGAAAAGGTCAAGATGAGGACACAGTTCGTGGTTATTGTTAATATATATATATATATAGGAAATATTGCTATTCTTCATTGCAACTTTTAAGTTTTAAGCTAATACATGCATCTATAGCATGTAATTACTAACTGTATGTAAATTACACATTTTTAAATAAATTATTAATTCCCATATAACTGGGTAGGTACATTCTATTCAAATAATATATTTATTATTGATTCAGCCGCCGTGGTGCTTGTTTAGTATACTTTGGCCATTTCCTTACGATCCTGAAATTCTAAATTTAAAAAAAATAACAATTATCCTTGGTATCTAACCAAGGTGAATTGTTAACCTTAAAAAGATACATATTAAGGCGCCAATGACAAACCTTGGACTAGAAATAGTTAAGTGCTGAGTACTACGAGAATAAATATTTGAAGAACATAATTCTATCACCATCGTCGTTATTTCGTTTTTCGTTTTATTAAAGTATACATTTGTACTATAATATAGTACACTAGATAGAAATTATAATGGCAAGAATTACTGAGGAAACCTCTGTTAAATTGGCTCTCGAACATTCTCAAAGGTGCGCGCTAATACCTAAAATATTTGCCTTCCCTTCCACTGTATTACAAAAACCAGAAACAAAAAGTCTTGTTGTTGTCATCAAATATTGTTTGTTAGTTACTTATATACTTGAGTACAGTTTTTGACAAAATGCAATAACTGAATAAACGGTTTCGCAAGGGTGCAAAGTAGATAACACAAATGTGGTGTCAGTGTGGAGTATTTAATTATTTTATTATTATGATAGGACTATTTTAGGGCATCTTTACATACAATATTTATATCCCGTCCGCTGCCATCCACGACGGACGTACGGCCCGAAGCGGCGACAGACGTACGGCCCGAAGCGGTGACGGCTGCTTTGCCTCCGAAATTTAAACCTCTAATATCTTTTAAAATATTCATTATAATGATATGCTGGAAAGAGCAATTTTAATCTAAATTAAATGCACAACGTACCTAGCGTATTTAATTGAATAAGGAATAATAATGCATTGTTTAAAATAGCTTCGTAAATAGCAAAACCATGTTTTTTGAGACAAATCTTTGAAAATCTCGAATTGTCAATGCTACAGTATGCATGTATAATACATAATAAACTTTCCTCTTAAATCACTCTCTCTATTAGTGATATCTGTTAAGATCTAAGCGTACAACAGAAAAAATAATTAAAGTTATTTATACTATGTAAAAATAATGTCCAATGAATGGAAAGTACACAAAGAAATAAATATAAAAAACATCCATGTTCATTTTTGAATAAAAATAACACTATTTAATCCAATTGAACAAAATTCAATACAAAAATAGCACATTAAAATGTCTAATGGCCATAGAAATCGTAATAATAAGTAAATAGTAATAATAAGTATTTTATTCTTACGATTTCTATGCTTATGGCATATAACCTCAAAATAAGAATTCGGTGCGCATGTACTTAAAAGCCATGTAGGTATGGCATGGCATTGAACGTACTACGTAACGAACCTCTCTAAACTCCAATCTTATTAGTATCTAATAAGAATTATTATTATTTATTAGATTTTAGCTATCGAATACAATAATCTGTAAACTAAGGTATTTGGTTTGCTCGAACAGGATATTGAATATCAGATTGTAGGGACGTGGATACATCGGATCACGAACTGTTCTGCTTGACGAATTCATATTCTGACGAAATCACTAGCTACTGCCAAGATTTCTTTTAAAAGCCATCGACCTGTCACGGTACAAAGTTTTAACTTACGATTTTGTATTTTTAAAACACTCTTATGCGGAGTAACTAAAGTATAAAGTGGCCTGGCAGATATACTTTAAAATTGTTGGCCAACAACGCTATGAATCGTTCGGGCAACACTTGGATTACGCTTTTCTGGCACAGATGAACGCAACTGTGGCTGGCGGGAAATAAATGCGTTCTAATTGCAACGCGTTGAAAAGGTATACACCAGTTAAATTAATTAACATTTTATCTAAAGGTCTGTAAAATGCGTACGTATATCCTAGGGCGAAAAAATGTACCAAGGTTTTTTTTCATATCAATTTATACAACAGGAAAGGTTAAACAAGACAATCGGCCAATGAACTGTTTAAAAACGCACGCATACTTAAATAGAATTTCATGGACACTTAATTAACAGTAGCGCCTCTACTTATTTCATTTGTTGTCATGTGTTACAAACACAATGATGTTAAACAAGTTCCACGTGAAACAATTTAACACCTGATCAGATTTGCAATTGAATTGGCTTACGAATGTATTTCGCATCCACACGCATAAAACAAAATCGCCAATTTTCGTGTTATTATTTTTTCTTTGAGAGATCGTCTTTCAGCACCCAACTTTAACTTTACAACATCACGTAAATAGTAACTCGGTGTATATTAAAAATATTAATTTATTGTCAATTTTTCATTGCATGTACTTTTGGATTTAAATTATATTGCTTATTATATAGTATTACACATAATAATATTATATTCCTGCTTACATTGCAAATTCCTACCTATCTAATTTCTCTAAATAAATCCATTGTTGAACCGACTTCAAAAAAAAAAGAATCATCAAAATCGGTTCACCTCGTCAAAAGTTCTGAGGTAACAAACATAAAAAAAAAATACAGTCGAATTGAGAACCTCCTCCTTTTTTTGAAGTCGGTTAACAATACCAACAAAGAGCACTAAAAGCCTAGAAGAAATCGCGGTTGATTTGCTGTCATTTTTTTAAGATGAAATTTAAATGGGACCATTTTCATGAACGACTATTCGAATTAATAACCTCTTTCTTTTTAAAGTCGGTTAATAACAAAATCTATTACTAAAATAAGCCGTGTGGAACCTGTTTGAAGCGGCTTATATGGCACAATTTGACTAAATTTACTGACAAATTGTAACGTATAGCTGCAAATCGTCCAATTCAAAGTTTTTGAGTCAGGAAAAACTAATGTAAGCCAAATCAGTATGCGCTAATCAGATCAGTAGTAAAATTGCATGCGTAGAAGTCGTTTTAAAGATTTTACTTTGAACGGCTTCCACACTATTTTGATGATGACTAGATTTTTAACCGACTTTAAAAAGAAAGTTGGTTCTCAGTTCGGGTCTATATTCTTTTAATAAGATGGTTTCGTGTGCATTCAAATTGTCCAGGTAAAGGCAATCAGGTAAGGAGTTGTTGAGTGTTGAGTTTGTAAAAATGAAACTCTTAAGTAGGTATTTCTTACAAACTTTTAATCAGCACATTATTATTTTTTAACAAAAATTGCCAATTTCGTTGGGTACGTGTAAGCCGTTTAACAGAGATGATTTGAAATATAATTTAATTTAATGTATTGTATATATTTAATATTATATTGTATTGTGTATATATTTAGAATAAAGTATCACGAAGTTCCTATTTCGTGCCTTCTTATTCTTCCAAAACATATTTTTTAGAAGCAGGTAAATACTTCATAAATTAAGTTTGTGATCAACCTATTTAGGTATCAAGTATCTAGGGAAGTAGTAAGGAAATGATGCAGCAAATTTTTTACGACTTAACAAATTCTTGTAGTATTCCCACAGTCTTGCAATGGAAAACAATTTCCCGAGAAAGAGATAGATATATTACTATATAGCTATATGTATACTCTTATAGCCCACCCTAATTACAATCTCCGGGACACTCTACTGCTCTAAACCATGTACAATTATGACGTTCTACTAAGAATAATTGTTAAAGGAAATAGAAATACACATATTGCATTACCTAAGTTATATTATATGTTATATCATAGCCTTTTTCTGTTAAAAGCCATTCATTATTTCGGTTTGATAATTGAAGTTGGAACAAACGATCGTTTTTTCAAACAAGTCAGACAGAGAGAGATATAGTATTGCTACTGTGTTGTTGGAGCAGGTTTCAAGGTTGTCTGAAGATGAATATTAGTTCAATATCTATCTCTTTTTAACATACGTAATAACGTACAGCTATCTCACTAACATGACGTATGTGCACAAGCTTCAGGTCGAGTTAGCATCCCCGCGCGAGGCGTCGCGCATTATATTTTTTCCTTCTTCCTCCTTCATTTAGACGTCGGTGTTTGTGCGGTGAACATTATTGTACGTTGTGCGTAACACGTGCTTACAATTATTTCTTTAAATTTTCCAAGAACGCTCTAAAACTAAAATAATCATAATGGCAGACGCAGCCGTCGAAAAGAAGTAAGTCTTTACCTTAAACTCATTTAATAATCGTAAGTTTCGCGCTTTATTATTTTTGGCGGCTTTGAACGTGATCAAAATGGCTTCCTATTTATGTGGTTAAATTGTGTTTTCAGTGTTTATAAAGTGGATTTGAAGTGATTTACTGCTATTAAAGTATTATTGAAGTTATATATTCGAATTTCTCAAAACTTAGTTTTGGTTTTTAATTAATAGTTTTGGTTATGATTATTATGTATGCCGACGTGATAACACGCGGGAATTTTAGTTCCACTGATTAATCTAAACTTTAACATTACGTTTTTGGTCGCCAAAGAAGTTTCAGAAATTAACAAAATGTTGGCAATATGACGCGTTTACTTCTGTAAATGATTTTTACTGGTCCAACGTAATATAAGTTAAGTGGTTAAGTTAAAACACGCCGGGCAGTAGCGGCGGTTCGGCGGGCGAAGGGGTCGCTGTTTTATTCAAGATGGCGCTGCGTGCGCGGCGTGCCGGCGCGTAGCGTCATTGAGGACGAGCGCGCGCTCTTTTGAATTTACCGAGACCTCGAGTTTTGCAACTCAGGTCGTTAGTAGGTAGTATAGGTTAGCGCGAGCGAGCGAGTATGTTGTCATTGGTTATTTTTAACGCTTTACGACTCATCGTAGAGTGCACCACCGGAGCGAGTAACATATTCATTCAATAAAGGTGATCACGGTTACGTTTGTTTCCTATGTTGCAACTTTCCCACATGCAGTCTTGCGCAACAGCCACTTGTTTTTCGTTCCGGCATACTTTTCCTTTTAAGCCGCCCCACTTAGCCGGTGAGCATTCGCCGCTTATGGAACTGTTGCATTGTTATGTTCCGTTATTGACTCGCGTACTTTGTTTTAGCTACGGTGCGTAGATATTTAGATTGAAGAATTTACGACTTGCAAAGCCGTTAAAACTACTCACAATTTATTAGTTTATGCAAACTATTTATCGTTCTAATCTTGCATTATGTAGATACAAAAAAACCATGTTGGTTTTTACTGATATCGGCTATATGAAAAATATGAACGTTGCAATGTATCACGCAATTGGAATCGATGCATACATAACATTAAACATTTTGATTTCCAGTGACGTCGTCCCCGAAGAGGTCTCTTCCACTGAGGCGAAAGAGTCACCAGTTAAGAAATCTCCCGCGAAAAAGGCAGCTGAAGTACCGGAGAGCAATGGTAATGGCAAGGAAGAAAATGGCAGTAGCGAAGCACCCGAAGCCGAAGAGGACGCTCTTGCTGAGAACGGCGAGGCCGACGAAAGCAACGATGCCACCGAAAATGGTGACGCTACAGGTTAATATCATTTTATTGATTACCACATCTAACAATGTGTTAAACGCAAAATCATATAGAGAAAGTAATCACAATGTTTTTCTTACAGAAAAGAAAGAGACTGCAGTGAAGAGGAAATCTGTGTCTGCAGATAATGGTGAAACAGAGAAGATCACACCTGAAAAGAAAGCGAAAGTAGCAGAGGAGGCGCCCCCCGCCGAAGAGGAGGCGACCGCCTAAAAGTTCATACCTCAATACCTCGCTTGGTTTACTGCAATGCAACCATGTTCATTAGGGCTCAACTCACACGTACATATCTTGTCTTTATAACAGTAGCTTAACTACTTAGACCTCCTAATATGCAAAATTTTACAGATATATTTATATGTATTACCCAAATAAATTATATGCATTTTGCCTTTCTGGACCTACAAACTTTGAGGCTAACCAACTCTTAGGAAGTCTTGGTAGTTCTCTTTTACAATTTATATACAGCATATATTACAGGAGTTGAGCTCTCTTGTGACCGCACTTAAGTTTAGGTTTATAATACATTGTGTATTAAATCTTACCTGTGAAGTACCTGTAAATTGTAAATTTAATGTTACTGTCAGTTGCGACCAAAGTGTGCATCGCAGTGAACTGAACATATAATGTACGAGTTGGATTAGGTGTTGTATGCTGTTTTTGCGTATTGGTGTCTTATCTCAACGGACTAGTAGCGGAATTTTTGAATTGATGGAGTAACGTATCGGTAAAAATAATTCGCCAGTAGTATACTGCCAAAGTAATTCACCTTGTGTGAAATCAATTCACAATCCGTTCTGTGAACGACGCGTTTTATAAAACAGCTTTTGAAAAACAAGGATTTTAGATAAAAAATAAGATTAATTAAAAACTAGATAATTAATTCAGTTATAAATTTAAGTTAGCAGATAATAACGCACATTTTTGTAATTCATAGGCATTATTACTTAACCATTGAACATTCCTTTGACATTTTGGTTACGGCTTGCAGTGTGAACGTGTCTCACTTTTTGGGTTAAGAACAGAGTTAATTGGTTGTGTATTTCAACAATGTAACTGTAACTTTGTAACTTACACTAGGAAGTCATTATTCAAAATGTTCACATTGTACCACTAATTTTAAGATTTGGAATAATTAAAGTTCAAAGTTGACAAATAAGGTGATAGTTCATATTGACATAACTAACGTTTGTGTGCTATTTTTGTTTGTTTGTAATTCTATGGACAACTTTATTTTTCTTATATCCTGTTTTTTTCTAATTTATTTTCTTATATTGTGATAATAACAGACCTCGAATGTAAGGATAACCTTTGTGGAAACGAATCTTCATTTTTAGTACTGAGTAATTTTTGACTCTGTGTTCCTTACAATGATATAAATGGTAATTAATATGTGACTAACCTTTTTCAGATTGTATTTTAACAATTTAAAGTTTAAATTTTGATTCAAAGTACATTTAGGATTAGATTTAAAGTAGTGTGTACAGTTTACACTACGACCCCGTAGATCGAGGAGTTAGTGTTTGTAAAACATTTCTGGCAATAAATAATAGTCCAAACCTGCACATGTTTTTGTAATTAATGATAAAACAACATACCTACGGCTCACTAGCTACTTGGAGACTTATCACATGGATTTTTAAAGATCTTCTAGATAAATTAAAAGACACAGTGGTTTCAAATATTCCTGAAATTTTCGCATGGCTGAATTGTGGACTGTTATTAGCTAAAGTTTAGTTAATAACAGTCCAAGTCACCTTTCATAAAAATAAAAAGGAATCGGTTCATCAGTTAAGCGAGTTTGATGGCACACACACTGTAACCTTATGATAACACTTCCTTTTTTTTTGGACACGAACAAGCCATAACATATGAAACAGCCACTAACAGCAACAGCTATTTTCAAAAAACCTATTCTCATTGTTTGGTACTTGTTTCATAAATAACACTTGTAACACGAAAGATGACTAATGCTGTGCTGTGAAAATTGTAGCTTGGAAACTACGTGAATGTGTGTACATAAGTAGAAGGTATAAATATTTACTTGAATTTCTTAATTTATTTGACTTCATATTGATCGGAAAATTATTTCAGCCCTCAGGACGCAGTTAACCTCTTCTATTGAAGAATTACAACTACATTATAGTATAGTTATACCGGTGAATGGGGTCGGGATCGAATTGGCAATGTGAGCGTTTGGCTATTTCGAGTCTTAATGTGTTACAGGCGAGCTGCTTGTTTACTAATTTATGGATGTTTTAAAGAAATCATACATACCTATACTTAGGAGTAGGTATGAAATAACATTTTTTCACTACGGCCAATGTTATAATTGTAAGTAAAGCCCCGGCTAGTGCTTATAAATGTTACATTTTTATTTGATTGTGTGGAGATCGTTGATGTAGATTAGAGATCTCTTCAGACATTAGAATTTAATAAGGAGCGTTCAAAGTTAATAATAATTGGTATAAAATCATAAATGCATGAAAGATATTTAAATTTTCAATAGAACGTTCAATTTTATCCAATTGGAATATCTAAGTACCTATCGTCACGAATTTTATAATTTTTGGAGCCGCTCCCACCATTCTAGTCGCCAGCGTATCACGTTTTGTGGGATTTGTGACACCTGCATTAATCCATCTTCCCCCCTTTATCGTGTGACGTTATTTATGGATGGCTAGGTATATTAAATACAATTAGATTTTACATGTTAGGGACTGTAATTCGTAACAATTTGTGTTAAAGTAGGTCTCTAGGTCTCGTCCATTTAATTAAGAGCATGACTACACACGTGTAGTTTAAACTAACTGACGTAATTGTTTAATACTGGTGCGTAACTAGGTACTCTTGGAAGATGATACATCCAGATCACAGTATTTAAAAATATAGATTGAATCACGTACCTAGTTATTAAATGGGTGTTTGTTTGATGTGCTGATAGACAAGCTGTTATAATTGATGACCAATATATTGATGAACAATACTTTCACACAAGGTCATTGTATCTCCGTGGTAACTGGACTGTACACATGAGCTTTACTGGCAGTCAGTAACGCATCCTCAGTTGGCCGTCTATAGGCCTAGCGGTCAGTCCGAGTTAAATGTGGGTTAAGAAGTTTTAAATGTGTCACCTGTGACGGTCAAAAATCATGTCTTTACTAACAATTTTCGTTTCTTTTTCTCTCTTGAGTGTTACATTTGCCCAAACTACACAAAATATTAATGTTTGTAAGTTCATGTAAATACTTGGATTAAATTAAGTAGCTTCAATAGTTTTTCGTCGTGCAGTTTCATCTGTTCTGAGAATTTTTTAAGTTGTTTAACATACGTCAGAAATATATATCAGCCTATAAAGAGCGAGCCAAATTAAAAAAAAACAAACAAATACAAACATTTATCAGCTGTATAGATTTTAATTCGTTTTCTCACTCCGGTATTGCTTCCAGTACTTATAAATGAAGAAAGCAATGCATTGGCTGAAAAGGCTTTTGAAGTAGCTAAGGAGTACGTGAGACGCAACCCAAACTTGGGTCTTGCGGTGGATCCGGTTATAGTAGTTGGTAACCGAACAGAAGCCAAAGCCTTTTTGGAGAACGGTAAGATTATGACATTATTAGTGTTACAGTCACTGATATATGGAATTAAGAAAGAGGTGTTTAGTTTGCAGAAAATATAATGACATGATTTTGGCGAAGAAGACTCCTCACGTGGTCCTGGACTTTACGATGACTGGTGTGGGCTCGGAAACTATTAAATCATTTACAGCAGCTTTAGGTTTACCTACGATATCTGGCTCTTTTGGTCAAGTTGGTGACCTAAGACAATGGAGATCTCTCAACAGTAATCAAACGAAGTTTCTTCTGCAAGTCACACCACCGGCTGATATTCTACCGGAAGCTATTAGAGCTATTGTGACTAAACAAGATATAACGAACGCAGCTATTATATTCGATGAATACTTTGGTAGGTGTTACAATAAGATTTTAGTAGTTTTATCGCATCAATCAATAATGACATATTTTCACCGTAAACCGCAAAATTGGTGGTAAATAGTCAAGGTTTTCGATCACTACTTTTGCTAAAGTGTAGATAGCACCCGCATATTTTTTGTTTTTTTTATTCTATTTTCTTTTGAACGAGTTGATTAATATAACTTGTTCAATTTCAGTGATGGATCATAAATACAAATCTTTGTTACAAAACATTCCAACAAGGCATGTAATTACACCTGTGAAGAGTTTTGAGATCAACGAAATTAAAACGCAGTTGGAAAATCTCCGTAATCTGGATATAGTCAACTTTTTTATCGTTGGTAGCTTGAGAATGATAAAGAACGTTCTAGATGCGGCAGATAAGAACCAGTATTTTGGAAGAAAAACTGCTTGGTTTGCGTTATCATTGGAGAAAGGGGACATAAGCTGTGGTTGTAAAAATGCAACTATAGTTCACATGCGGCCAACGCCCGATGCAAACAGTAGAGATCGCCTGGGAAAGATCAAAACCACATACAGCATGAACGGTGAACCAGAAATTACATCCGCCTTTTACTTCGACCTGTCTTTGAGAACGTTTTTAGCTATCAAGTAATGACCTTTACTATTCTCGTTCTAGTGTACCAGTTTCTACTTTAGTACACCTCATGTTTAATGTGGTTTGTCTAAATATATTCTGGGCATTTTCCATGAGAGTTCACGCTTATGAATTTCCAGATCACTACTGGATTCTGGCAAGTGGCCAAACGACATGAAATATATTACATGCGACGACTACGACGGTCAGAATACACCAAATAGGACCTTGAATCTTAAAACAGCGTTCCAAGAGGTGCGTTGACACATTTAGCTATTTACGTATTCAAATTTTAGTCACCCATAAGTGTGCAGTGAACTATTGATATAATTTCAGATAAAAGAGACCCCCACATACGCGCCTTTTTTTTTTCCGCAAGATGATCCTATGAATGGTAGGAGCTATATGGAGTTCAGCACCGAGCTGCTTGCTATCACAGTCAAAGATGGCGCCTCTATTAGTAGTCATTCATTGGGTTCCTGGAAGGCAGGCCTCTCTTCGAACCTAACCTTGACTGACCCCAATAACATGAGTAATTACTCCGCGGAGTTAGTTTATAGAATCGTCACAGTGGAGGTAGGTAAATGAACTCAGCTATTGTTTGAAATTCTGTTGTCAACTTGATAAAATTTTGTCCGTTTACTTAACAACAGACTGTTCAAACAACAATGTCAGTCTCGACTTTCGTTCGTCTGGAATTTTGATAAGATTTTGTATAAACATTTTTTTCTTTTAGCAAAAACCATTCATTATAAGAGACGATAAACAACCAAAAGGTTTCAAAGGTTATTGTATCGATTTGATAGAAGAGATTCGTCAAATCGTTAAATTTGATTATGAAATAAGTGTAGTGCCGGACGGTAGCTTTGGCCTAATGGACGAAAATGGAAATTGGAACGGAATTATTAAGGAACTTATAGATAAGAAAGCAGATATAGGTCTAGCTTCGATGTCCGTCATGGCCGAGCGGGAAAATGTAGTGGACTTCACAGTGCCGTACTACGATTTGGTTGGAATAACGATAATGATGAAACTGCCGAGAACACCGACATCCCTGTTTAAATTCCTAACTGTTCTAGAGAACGACGTGTGGCTGTCTATACTGGCTGCATATTTCTTCACCAGGTAATGACATCACACAAGTAGCTTTGTGCAAAAACCTGTTTAGTTTTGAGCGCAACGGTGATCCACAAAGTTTTATAATTTCCGAATTCTTTATGTGTCACCTTGTTTTTATCCTTGTTCTTTGTAGCAAGAAAGAGCGAGACGAAGAGTGATTTTTGTTGAAACCTGTACTCCAGATTAATGTACCTAATGTTTGCGAGGAAATATCATAAAAGACATTGAACAGTAAGTTAACTTTATACAAACTTACTTAACATGCAAGCGGCTTGTGTGTTGCGCCATGTAATACATATTAATTATGTCAGATGGAGAGGTGAAATTCAATTTTGTTTTTAATACTAGGGTGACAAACCAATACACGGTTTGACTGTTGACTCGCGACATTAAATAAAAATGGTCCTTGCCGCATTTAATTTACACTGATATACGATATAGTTATTTTTAGGGTATATGATATAGTTTTTTTTAGGGTTCCGTGGTCCTAACAAGGCACCTTTATAGTTTTGCCATGTACGTCTGTCCTTTCCGTTTGTCCGTCCGCGGCTTACCTTAGATTGATAACATTTAAAAGTTGTATGGTAACAGTGGGAAAGCTATGCTTCGGCATATTTAGGCCGCTTCGAACAGAGTGATACAACGGCATCACAGAAAACCGCTCTAAAGTAAACACGTAAAGTAGAAATTATCGTTTTTCTCTATGACAGTGTTAAAACTATTTATTGATACAGTGATCAAAATGCTAAATGTTAAACCTTGAAGTTTTTTTTTTTGTCACAATTAGGAAAAAGGGTTAGTTAGCACGGCTTAGTCAAGTTAAGCGGTTTGCTTGAAAACTATAATGAGTTTTAAAAAATAAGTCTGACGCCTAAATTAGATCTATGAGTTTAAAGAGTAGAGAGTTTTAAGTGCTTAAGAAGTAAATATTTTAAAATTTTGACAAAAAGCAATAAAATCCTGATAAAAAAGTTATATAGAAAATTCCTTACCTATTTAAAACAAAAGTAGTTATAGAATATGGAACACTACACTAAGCGTGGCCCAACTCAAACAAAACACATTTTAATTTAATGTAACGTTACGCTCACATTCAAATCACGTTTATTATTTTTGTATGAACTTAAATTACTGTGTTATGTTAGTTGTTGTGCGGACGTGACATAATGGCCGATCATCATTGACATTTTGATATCATCACGATACACAAACGATCGATGGGCCGATGCCCACCTGATTCCATTATTTCTTATCTGATATTGTAGAACGAGGTCAAACGATGAACCCAACAATAATATAACGAATACGGCTGTAGCAAATGGCGCCTGAAATAATAATTATATTGAGAAATGGGGTTAACGAGCATACGGGTTGCCTGATGTTAAGTGACTACCGCCACCCATGGACACTTGCCGCTTAGGAGACACAAGAGCGTTGCCACAATTTGAGTCGAGAGGGAGGGTTTAAGAGAGGGAGAGGAGTGGAATATGGCTCTCATAACCTCACTCACTCGGGGAAAAGCAACGGAAAATATATAATTTGAAGTAATACAGGCCTATCATACCATACATATTCATTTATTTTGAAAATATAAATACATGGAACTATCTATTTCAACTCTAATAGACATATTTTTGCAGTAAGCGACAATGGGACACACGACCTCTGACTTTGCAGTCGAAAGCATTATAATAATAGGTCTTTACCTATGAAATTGCCGTTTTGTATGCAATAAGTGAAAGTACTTATTTTTTCAAACGTTTTTATTTCTGTTATTCGAAGTAATCACCCATGCAATCGACGCATCTTTGCCAACGCATTGGCAGTTTATTGATGGAGCAGTGGGGACGACCGATTGACCAAAGCTGGTTGCAGATGTGACCACCAGACCTTGCACCTACCGACTATTACTTTTCCCAAAATTTAGACAACTTTTTAGTGGGTAAAAAATTCAATTCCCGAGAGGCAGTACAAAATGCCTTTGAAGAGTTGCCTCCCGTCGAGCTGATTTTTACAAGAACGGCATCAATAAACTGCCAATGCGTTGGCAAAGATGCGTCGATTGCATGGGTGATTACTTCGAATAACAGAAATAAAAAAGTTTGATAAAATAAGTACTTTCACTTATTGCATACAAAACGGCAATTTCATAGGTAAAGACCTAATAAAATATATGAAATTCAGAATCCATCACTACCCGTATTTTCGGCCAATAATGACTATACTATTAGCTATTAAACTAATAGTATAGTCATTATTGGCATTATAATACGACCATATAATATATTAGTAGAAGGTTTTGATCGACAATAAAATTTTTGGTTAAGCCGTACCCTCTATCTCTGGTAGTCGCTATGCTCGTGATCATAACGGGACGATATAATACATTGATTTTTATATTAGGTCTTAAAACTTATCACTAGACAATATATTGTTTTAATAAAATCAATGAAGGTACGTGAGTTATATTTTATTGATAATGAGATAAGATTAATCACTGCAACTAATCAGATTTAAGCTTCTTTAATAAGGTTGATAGGAAAATAATTCTGTTACGCGATAAGGTCGACTATAACCTCACACATCTCACACAAAAACAAACTAGCCAGAGCCTGTTCTATGGTAACCAGACCACTGATAAACATACTTATGTGTTTCTGAAGATATACATTTGATTATAGATAAATTACACCCAGACACAGATCAAATGATCGTACTCATCACAACATTATTTGTCCTGAGTGGAAATCGAACCTATCCCCAGACAGAGGCATATTTAAATATGTTTATCAGTAGTTTGATTACTCAGCCTAGTTTGGGATGAGACAGCCGTGTGTGAGATGTGTGAGGTTATTATTATTATCCAACCATTTCAATTTATGTCTGAATACAAGAACGTAGATAAGATATTATTTCCATTATGTATTCTGTTTCTTCTTATAAATAGAAAAAAGAACTGTTTTTAAACTAATTGATTTACTATGTGTGTTATTGCTTTGTCCATCTTGAATTGTATTGTTGTAGTAAAAAGCTTGAAATGTATTATTTCAATAGTAGCACATTGTTTTATATGTTGTAAGTAATTAATTTTTACAATTGCCATTAAATTTTACGAGATCCAAGCTTGTACATGTGGGACCGCCTGGAGTACACAGAAAACCGGTGTTGAGCAATTCTTTTTAGCGGAGGTTACGGGCGGCCAATTAATTCATTTCTTCTTTTCCTGTTTTTAAAAGACAACTCCCACATTAGGAATATATCCTGTGTAGAGGGGGACCTTACAAACATACACGAAACGGACACAAAAAACACCCAGACTTAGAACAACAATTTGTGGATCACACAAAGTGTCGTCCCATGTGGGGATCGAACCTACAACACTCAGCCTAGAAGTAAGCGGCGTGCGGACCGCTTAAACCACTATGCCATCCGTGCAGTCAATTAATTCTGGGGAGGGAGCATTCAAAGGCCAGGAATAACACTTGTCTTTTAAACTTGAGGTGTTCATGGCGACGATAGTCACTTACCGAGCCTTTAAGGACCTGTCTGTAAGATTACGTCATAAACCATAAAAAAATATGCCTACGATTTTAAAAATATATGTTTAGAGAAACCATGATATACTGACAGTTTAAATTCATACAATTTGTTGTAGTTTTTTTTTGTGTTCAAAGTTCTTTAAACAAATAACAGAAGCCATTTTAAAGATAATAAAAAAAAACATAAAATGTACGATAAGGTACACGATAAAATGAACAAAGTCCAAACATTACATTTAATTGTCTTAAATAATGTTTATTAAATTTCCTTCAGTTTCATGACTATTTTCCTTTTGTTTCAACCCTAAATACGGAAGTAAATTGCAAATATTTCTTCAAAATCGTACCTAAATAACTAGATATGAGATATTTTCAAGGTACAGGGGCGAACGAGCAGACGAGACGAGACACAAGTCCCGCCCTTGAGTGCTCCCTTAACGGAGGGTTCGGGCCTCCTCTGACGTCACTCACTTGGTGTAAAGGAACGAAACAATTGCTCAACATGGAATAAGCTGCGGTAATTCTGTTATCGAGCCGGGCCCATACTTGCCGAAGCATGGCTTTCCACCGGCAACAACGTGATGACAAATATTTCTGTTTGTCTGTCTGTTACCTTTTCACTCTTAAACCGCTGAACCCGGAAAAGGACATAGGATAATTTGTATCCTAGAAATCATTCTTTAAGGGGTTGTAAAGTGGGATGGAAGTTTTTATAGCGAATCAATAAAAGCTGAACCGATTTACTTAGATTTAATTTGGTATGGAGATACATAGTTTGAATATAAATTAAGGACATACTTAGGCGCTATATTTTTACCGCGACAACCGATATATACGCGGTCAAAAACTAGTTGTTTATAAAATCTGAGCTCCTATTATTAGTTACTAATAACAGAGTGATAACTTGTGTTTAATACAGAATTTCATCGTATAATACTCATGCTAGGGTTACTAACGGACCATAACGTTTATTTTTAAAAATTAATATACACACAAAACCAATTTTACCCAAAAACCCGTCAGAGTAAGTCGAATTTTCGAAGCGCGACGGCTTTTTATGATACGTTCAATATAAGTTAACGTATTAGTCACAGTTTCACCAGAAATAAGGCGTTTATGAAACACACATAGCAACAAGTCATTTGCCTTATTCCTAATAGCAAAAATCAACCTTGTGACACGCGTGTTTAAATTGAAAATTCTCCGTGGTATTGTAACAAATAGTTGGTATACGTCTGCATATCTGAAACATTTGGTAGGTAATTATAGATAATGAGGCAAGTTATAGTGTTAAATAGAGGGAAAAAAATACACAAAAGTCAAGTTGACGTAATAAAAAGTAGATAATTTTAAAATGGAATGACAAAATAGTATGTACAGTCGAAAGCATTAATCTTAACTCAGGAGGGGTAAGTTTTGACTTGTCAGGAGTACTAGCTACGCCCCCAGCCTATATTCAATTTTTTGCTCATCAAACGGGAACACTATATTTTTTCTTAATAAACAGTAACCAATGTGTTAATCTAGGGTGTCAGCTACCTTTATACCAACTTTTATCATTGAGCTTGAATAAGTAATAAACACAAAAACACTCACTCACGAACTTTCGCCTTAATAATAATAGTGTGATAAAATGAACTTAATGGGGTCATGATCCTGGATCTGCTCTTGATCTGGATATCAAATAGACGTGTTTACATAATTATATTTATCTGTCTTTTCGCAAGTAAAATTGTTGATTATAATTACAAACTTATTAATACACTTACTATTCATCTACAGCCTTTAATGGTTAACTGCTGGACATGGGCTCTTAGAAAGGAGGTTTTGGCCACGCTGGCCAGACGGGTTGGTATAGGGTTTGTTTCAAGTTTTCATTCTATTCGCAATGCTGTTGTCCTGCGTAGTTTGCTCCCTTAGTCGGCTCTTACTCGTACGATACCCACGGGATAAATAAGGGTGGCGATACTCCGTATTCTTAATCCGTCAGCACACACCCCACTTACTATAAGTGTGATATAAATTGAAGAATATACAAGCCTATAGAAGAACGGGTATACATTTAAGTCTTTTATTCCCGAAGGAATAGACAGAGTCGTATTACAACGCCCACATTCTACCGACAGTAATTTTAGTCCCATTTAAGTAATATGGGACAAGAATATTGCAGTTCACCGGGAACATTTGTATTTTTAAACAAACATACTTATATATTTCCAAATATTATATCTTGTAGTAGAAAAAGAAAGTGAAAAACAATTGATAGATTTAATTTTGGCTTTTACCACAGAAAATATTAGAAGCAGTAGAAGGAATCCCCTTAAAGGAATTAGTAATACCTAATGATTATAATAACCTCACGCGTGTCACACGCGACTGTCTGACTCCAAACTAGGCATAACCTAACCTAAAGTACTTAACCAGACTGCTGATAAACATACTTATATGTCTCTAAATACATACACAGTAGTTATTACACCCAGATACAGAACAAATGATCGAGCTCTTCACACAAATAGGTACTTATTCGGGATGGGAATCGACGTCAGGGTCACTAACCACTTACTAGACCAACAGGTGTCACCAATATGTGACATAGGTAACACATTACGCTTCAAGTTTAAAAGTTAGTAATGAAATGTAAGTAGCCACCGTAAAGTAATGTAAATATTTAAAAAGTACTCAATTTGTTTGTCAAACACGCTGCATAATACGTACATACGTACTCTAGTACATTTCTAAGTTTACAAGGTTATCTAAGAAACTTAAGAAAACTTAATCATCCATTAAGACTCGACGTTTTAAAACACGTATAAATAAATTGAAATATGAGAGTATTTTTATAGAAACAAATCGTGGGCAATATTGTTGGAGGACTTAGGCTTATCTTTTTCGAAATGCTTACAATTTTCTCATCTTTAATTATCAAACTGAGCGTTACCTTTATAAGTTTAGAATCAATTTAAAACCATTTTCAAATTACAATATTGTTTATCGATCGTCGTTACTTCGACACAAATCGGGACACGACCGGTGTTAAACCGCCGTGTCACACCGGTCGTGTCCCCATAGAAAACAAGGGTTAATCAATTTTTTTGTTGTTTTGCACCGAGTGAGACTCTTGAGGGGTTGGTAGTCACTTACCATCAGGTGACCCGTGTGTTCGTTTGCCCTTCCCCCCCCTGTACCGACCTGTAAGAAACCAGCAATTTTGTTATCAAATTGTGAGTGCGTACTTTCTTGTATAAATTTTTGAGATTGTAGAAATTATATAAGAAGCTTCAGACATCCCTCTGCGATACCATCCTGCTCGAGTGAGCAATATACTTTTTATTCTAATTGGTTTTATTTCTTATCTTCCTTTCCTTTGCAATATTCTCCCAATTAACCATCTGTGCGTTACCTACGTTATCTTAATCTTTCTACACGATACAATTTTACAATAGTTATTAGTTATGTGGTTTCAAATGTGGTAGTTTAAGAGATCGATGCAAAGAGAAGAAAAACTTGAAATAAACCAAATACCAACCCGTCTGGCCACCGTGGTAAAGTAGCCCAAGATCTCCTTTCAAAGAAGATTCCTAAATCCAGCAGTGGACTACTACTACCCTGATCTAATCGCTAGTCAGAACATTCCTAGGAATTGATAGGGTTGATGGTAAGAAAATTGGTTGTAATTTTGCACATTTTTCTTTTTAGCCTGCTCATGTGGGTTTTCGACAGATGGAGCCCATATAGCTATCAAAATAACAGAGAGAAATATAAAGATGACGAAGAGAAAAGAGAGTTTACGCTGAAGGAGTGTCTATGGTTTTGTATGACGTCACTAACACCTCAAGGAGGAGGGGAGGCGCCAAAGAATCTCTCTGGAAGACTGCTGGCTGCTACGTGGTGGTTGTTTGGGTAACTGCAACATTAACACAGTTTTATTCTTCTCATTAAACTATTTACTAACAGAAAAACAGCGTTGCTCTTTAGTAGTGATATCTAGATATTGGCAACAGAAGCTTTTTTCTGGATGTCTTTTTTGTAACTCTTGTCAATTTCTATAATCAAATGATAATCAGTGAAACTAACTTTGTAGTTAAAATCAGAAAGAATAATTATTGTATATTTTTTCCAAGCTAGCGGTTCTAAATCTTATGCAGGCACTTTACTGCCTAATTTATTTACTTATTTAAAAGGTACAGTATTAAAACAAACTTCAGATATAGCTTTAAGTCTGTTTTCCCACTAAGCATGTGTCAAATTGTCATCTGTTCTTCAGTTTTATCATCATAGCTTCCTACACAGCGAACTTAGCCGCTTTCTTAACAGTATCCCGGCTGGACACTCCCATAGAGTCTCTGGACGATCTGTCGAAGCAGTACAAGATTCAGTACGCGCCTGTCAATGGCTCAGCCTCCATGACGTACTTCCGAAGAATGGCTGATATCGAAGAGAGGTTTTACGAGTAAGTGATTTTTATATCTAATGGCTTTTTGGTGCCAACCCATATCAATTTCTTGTATTAACAGTGGCAGTGTTTGTCTTTGTTTGATGACCATAAAAAGTGGCGGTTTTGAAATATTTAAAAAAAATGTGGATATATAATGCAGTGAGTGTTTAATGATTTTATGTGGGTATGGACTTTCAATTTTTTACTTCTTGCTTTGCCGTGTGCCATCATGTATGCATATTTTGCGAGAAACTGATATTTTTCCAAATACATAAAAGGTAGTCTTACTCCCTGTAACATCAGCTATCTGAGTGTAATTCTCGTAAAAGTCAGTTTACGCATTAATGAGATAAGTCGAATCAAACAGACAGACAAAAAGTATTTTTCAATATTGGTCTTTTCAAATATTTTTAAAGTAGATTTTTGGTACGAACATCGTGTATGAATTTAGTAAAGCCGTTGTGACTAGCCGTTAAATAATTTAGTTAAATCACAAGATGGCTCAAAAATCATTCGTAGAAAACAATATAAGACGCAGTCTCGTGATATAGTCAGACTAACCTTCTTATTGCTTTTACAAGTTTCCAAACAACATTCTAAATCCAAACTATATTTAGGAAGTGATAACATCTTTATTGGGGCATTTTTGAACAACAAACAAAAGAATCTATTAGAATCTATTTTTTGAGATTGAAAAAACCTTGAACTGGCGACACCGTTACCGTTACCGACACCTTTGTATATCGTATCTGTATTTATAAGTATCTAAATATATAGGCCCCGTTTACACGAGAGTTGAGTTTGGGTTGAAATACATTGATAATATAACTATATAATAAAAACATATATTGTGTATATATGTACAATATCGATATATATTCAGGAACTTTCGGCAATGTCGGCTCTAAAATTTTTAAGTTTTACCTTCTGTCGGCACTCCCGGAGTGCTACTGTTTTTTTTTAATTGTTACGTTTAGTTTATCGCCACGGCTATAGCATTCTACAGTCAATAAACTTACTTCAGTTGTTATCCATTACGTGCTCCAGTGTAAATAGGCGAAGGGAAATGAAGGTCGCGTTGGCGTTTAGTGCCGTTCTGCCATTTGTATAGAATTATGTGTTACATTATATTGTTAGTATAAGGCTGCAGTTAACGTGTTTGCGGAGATAGTTACTTGAAATAATATATGTAGTTAGTTTAAATATACGTTCATACATGATATGTCTATGATTGGACATGTTTCCTAGCTAAATAAGGTAGCTAAACTCTTTTTTTTTCATTCTGTGCACATAAAAATTCTATTCGATATAAAAAAGCTGCTCTGGATTAAACATTTTCTTAAATATTGTATTATGATCTTAAATATGTACATAGACAAGAATTTTCAACCTATTAGGTAGTCTTTTTTAAATAGGAAATAGATTACAGAATAAAAAATACAACTGGCATAGATGTATTTTTTATTCTGTTTCCTATTTAAAAAAAGAAACAAAAAGTTACTTAGGTTTTCATATCGGACCTAGTGATGTTACTAGTGCGTAGCGATATTTTTTAAACACTTTCATTGAATAGGTATTGTTGTCAATATTAATTAATATTGAATTACGTTTAAAAGAAATGACTCACCTTTTTCCATTATGTCTTCTGTTGTGTTAATTATAAAAAAAATGAAGTTATTTAAGGAGTAAATTCTTATAATTAAATATCTTAGTGACTTGTGTAGAAGAATTCCTGGTCCTGCGATTAAATTAATGTAAACTAGCACTCCATTATTGATATAGTCTCACTTATTCGACATAAGAGTATATTCTAACTATCCCTGTTTAAACTACCTAAAACTATTGTTGTAAAGTTGTTTCGCCCTTCTCCGTGTAAAGTGCTAAGTTATAACTTTTAGTAGGTAGGTAAGCAGATATATAAGCGAAGCAGATATGTAAACCAAGCCTATACCGCTTTTCGGGTTCTGAATGAAAAAAAAAACTATACAAAATTAAATTGACAAAACGGAATATTTCAAGGAAAAATTTAAGAGTTTTGTAAAGAGTTGGTGAACTATTAAAACACCTGACCCGCATTAAGGAATAACACCTCATTGCTGGCCAACCGTCAAGACTCTTTTTAAGCTCTTTATTTGGAACTGTTACAAATCACATGACTAAACTAATACAGTACAAACTGTCCTATAACAAAATGGGACCAGTTTGCATAAGACTCAGGTAATTAGACTCGCCTTGCGTACAGCGCTTTTTTTTAACGTGTAGAACCCCCTCCGGCCGTCACCCCTCTGGGGTTTGCGGCGGGGTGGGGTGTCGGAATCGGACACACGGTGTGCCACTCTGCGCCTGTAATAGGAGGGATTCGGAAACTGCTATGATTGCGCTTACTGCGCTTACAATGGGATGACCTCAGGGATCAGTGCTAGCTCCATACTTGTGGAATATCGGCTTACCATCCGGATGTACTCTGAACGGGTATGCTTTTAAATATGCTATGCTGTTTAAAAGGGTGTATGCGGTATGCCTATTTTACTTAATTTTGTCTCGAGAAAAGTGGATTTACTGTATTTCGAACTCCTACAATTTTCTTCTGATTAATTTCGTGCGGGTTCCAAGACAGTTTAATTTTTTTTTCCTGGGACTTCCCGAGTGTCATAACTCGTCGTGTTCGTGGGTCACTGCTGTGGATCCTGGTGTACAGGAGTTACAGTGGTGGGCGTGTGGGAGCGATTAGTCTCATAAAACTTCTATTATTAAGACATCCGGACCCCTCCTAGCGACCCCCTTATTTCGTATAAATAGCTTGAAAATACTCTACTACATACTCTAGTACTAGGTATGGTAGGTAATAAACCATAAATACTTAAATAAAATTAGATACTTAATTTGTAATTCCATTTCTTATTACTTAATATTAATTCTTTTATAGGAATTAATTATACAAACACGTAAAGTTACGCATCGTGATAAAAGGTTCGTTGAACTTTGCGTGTACAAAGTCACGAGCGTCTGCTAATATGTTAACTAGGTACATCATCATGAAAAAAAACCTGCTCATTGGTAAGCGTATTACTTTAAGGAGATAAACTAGAATATTTTATATGTCAATAGTAGTCCAAATGAGGTTTAGGGAACGAAAAGATGGGAAAGTTGCTAAATTTTGTGTTTAGTAAAAGTGGTTTAATTCATAAAGCTAAAACTTTAAAAGGAAAACGTCTATCAGGTCAGTTCATATTTCTCGCAGTGATTTTCGAGTGTTTTATGAAAATCAAGATTATTGCCCAACAGTTATTTCTATACTACGTTATCATTTCTTATCGGTCAAATGGTTTCATTGCAGCGCCATTGTGTAAACCTTTTGATAAGATACATCTTTATATTTGGGTCTAATTCTATAAAAACGTAATTCGTGTCATTAAACTTTGCCAAATTATTTATTTCCCGCCGAATTGCAAATTAATATTCATGGCGCTAGACTAGTTCATTTTGATAAGACGCCATTTTGATATAGGTATGTAGGAAATTATTTTTTAAATATAAACAAAATTGAACGAAGTTTTTGCATTTATTTGCTACTTAGAACACTGGTTCGTACGTTTCGACGGGCCTGTTGGTCTAGTGCAGGGATTCCCAAACCTTTTTGGGCAAGAGACCTCTTTTCTAAAATGAACTTATACCTCAGACCCCATAGCCAAATTAATGTACGCTTATGAACCTGTTGATTTTTAAAAAAGTAGAACAATGATACTTCCTTCTAAAATATTAGTAGTAGTATTAGTATATTCTTACAACAAGTTGGTATACTTAACACAACTAATACAATATTTTGAAAGTTTCAAATTAATTCAAATAAGAATTTGTGTTTATTAATAGGGGTCGATTTTTAGACCTCGTTGCTCCCTAAAATCAGTTTTCGTTTTTGTATCGACCATTTTGATAATCCCTGGTCTAGTGGATAGTGACCCTGACTGCCAAGTCAAAAGGTCGTAGGTTCGATGATGAGCACGGTAGTTTGTTCCGTGTCTGGGTGTAATTTATTTATAATAATATTTAGAAATATATAAGTATGTTTATCAGCAATCTGGTTATTATAGTACAGATTCTGATGTAGAAAAAAATTAACTAGTTTGTTAAAAAATATAAACCGACTGTATTCTTCATTGCTTAATGTTCACCCCAAGTGGTGGCATATTTTCTTCAAAGTTGAATGAGACTAAAGGTAAAGTATACATACCTACCCTTTCAAATAATAAAAAAAACAAATATCAAATCTGTTCATAAATGATATATGACAGAGTTCTGAGATATTTAACATAACAAAATACAGTTGCATTGAGAACCACTGCCTTTCCTGGAGTTAAAAATATTTTAAAACAAAAATAGGTTTGTGAATATACTCCGATACAGATAATCTTGTGCAATAAAATCGATTATATTATATGTTCGGTATGATTTATTAAGTAGCTTAATGAATCAACATAAAACAGTAGTTAGTTTATACTATAATGTGATATTACATAAATACGGGCAATTTGTAAACTATCCCAAAAAAATCATAATTACTTGACTGTTACTTGACAAGTTCTACTTGGGATGTTATTATACAGACAGGTCCTTGTGAAGTGTCGTTTCGGACCTGTTATAGGGCACATCTATCCGTTGCTGAGCCAGAACAGGGTCATAGGAGGCTGGTAATTACTTTGAGCTCTCTGATTTCTAGACCATTTCCATTATCTTTCAGCTGTCTTTCTATTATAAATCATCATCAAATTGAGATAGTATTTGCTATAACTACGACAAGAAGATTACGACATTATAAGCGAATAGAACTACAAATATTCTTCCACAAAAATTACTTATGCTTAAAAAACAAAGCAAATTATTAAAAAAAAAAACTATGGCGAATGCCGCATTATTATTCGAAAATTTAACATATATAGGTGATTTACATATTTGTGATCGCGTCCGTAAAATGCGATGACCGTTAACCGTCAGACTTGCTGTATCAAGTATACGGC